GTAACACATCACGTCACAAGTGTTTATCTCTTCGTCTTCAGAATCAGCAACTCACAACTTCTGTCGCAAAGTTAAGTGTCTCTGCATACAAAAGGCAGTAATAGTCATTGATAAAGTCCGGTGTACCATATCTATGATGTCATTGGCTTTGCTGGGATTTGGCATTGCATTCTGGTCCATTGAGGCCACTGCTTGTCTGGACACAGAATTTTGTTGTGCCACGTATACCACTGCAGAAATGTCTGTGCCTAAGTGACCTACCAGTAAAAATACACAAGTGCTATCAGAACAGCTGCAATATCATATTCTCATGCAAGAGACAGATAGAGAGACTCATTAAAGACCACCTAGACCAGACATCCTCAGGTGGTCCTTTTTCCCCATTTCTGCGACATTGGCCAGAACAGCCCTCCCCCCAAATGAGCATGCCAACACACTGACGCCTGAAAATATGCAAGAATCACAACAACATATGCAATAAGAGACACAGTTAATTCTTGTGTTATGAAGACTTTAAAGAGATCACCACTTTGCCAGACCATTCACAACAAGGTATTACCGGGAAGGAAAAAAGTGTAAAGCACCTCAAATGAAAAAGTTAAATAAAAACAACAATCAATACAGACTTGGAGAGATTCTGGACAGCTTGTTTTCTTGTACTGCATGTTTCTTTTTTTTACCCAAAATGTCTTTGATCGTTGACGTTTACATTTATTTTTAATCGCAAGAACCTTGGCATATATGTGGTATTGTCTCAACAATTTTGTTGCCAATTAAAAATGGCTGTTTACGGTTTGATCATCCCCCATAATTGGCAATGGAACTGTCGCAGCAAACAGGTTTGTGGATCTGATACTGAGTCGCAATGTGACTTTAAAGGTAAACCCGTTGTAGGAATGTTTCTCGTAATATGTCACAGTTGCTGTCGTGCTTACACGTCTGTGGCGTCATGGCAACAGCTATTTGGGGGTGTATGAAAATATTGATGCACTTGAGTATTGCGATATTGACCATGAAAGCCAAAGAGTACGGGATAATCGGCACCTTTTCACCTGAGTGAAGCAGTCTCGGCCAAGATTGTCGCAGGCTTTTGGGGGGGGGATTGTTGCGTACCTGATTTCTAAAGAAAGATTGGGCCGATCACTGGTGGCGTGTTTCCTTAGGCCTTTGTTTTTGGCAATGAAATTGGCAGGAGAAAGTGAAAATTACGGGATTCGCTGTGATTGGTGAAACTCATCGGAAAAGCCAACAGTGATTGATCAGATTTGCGGCATAGTTGCAAGGTTGCGGAGATTGGTTTAATTGAAGTAATTTTTTGCCATCTGGGCAACTTCCCCGGAAAGACTGGTGAAAAAGCTCCAGGGGATCCTAGCCTTGCTTTGTTGGCCTTACACAGGGAATCTTGGTGTATTTGGATTTCTGACATGCCAGGTATCTGGAGCAGCATAGTGAAGTTTGATTTGGACCCTTTTTGCATTCTTCATGTAATCACGCTTCTTACGGTGACATATTCTTAAGAGACAATCCGCTACACGTTGCATCCTTTAAACATTAAATAAGCTCAACACTACCCCCAAGAAAATAAAATTTTTCACATCATACCAATGGACATTCAACCCCATTCAAGTGGCCAGTGTTTTTGTTTACTGTCTTTTGGTCAAGGTCACTTTGTTAAAATATCTAAGCTTTAGTATTAAGCTTTATAAAAATAAATATTTCCCAAAATGCGATTCAATAAACTTAAGAGGGTTATTACAAAAAAAGTGTGTAGGCATATTTAGGAATGATTGCTGTTTAGTGACTGAGTTAATATGAAATGAAGCCCAGTGTTGTTGCCATTACTGACTGGCCAGACCCCTGAATGTGGACACGCAGCACCTCCAGCCTGGTAGTTAGTATTTGCTTTATGTATTAGTTTAGCAGTTGTGCACGAAGAGGAGCACTGCACGAAGAAAAGGAAAAAAAGTGCATCTATTCTGATTTTACCACAAATAAAGGTTTGAATTTGCAAATGAAATCAGTGTTTTAATCTGTCTTACTCTGTGTATGTGTGACCTTTAAAAAGTGTAGACAAGCAGAAACAGTGTCAAATATGAAATCACTTTATTTTCAGTTTAATGCATTCTACACAATCGTATGAAAATATCTCTTTAGAATGTGTATAAAACACGAGGTGAATGGACTTTAAGCTAGCTACAGTTCCCTTCTCATCCTTTTATTATAAGGCTACTCTAACAAAATCAAAGTATTTTAAAACTCATCAGAATGGTTATGCTGTAAAAGGTTAACAGGAGCAGGAGTAACCTTGTATTTGAGTGTATGTAAATGTAATACATGTGTATTTCATGTTTTCAGTCTACCACCATCATAATTTGATTTATGAGCTACCTGTTAAATTAGAACAATGAAGGAAACACGGCAGCTAAATGAGAAGATTTTTAAAAAGATCAGTCACAACGCCAACAATTGCACATAAACTCTGGAACTTGTGGAAGTACACAAATGTCAACATATGCATATGTTGGGCAATTTGCATAATTAGCATTAAATAGCATAATCGCCTATTTGGACAATATGGGAGTGGTTTTGGCGGTTATTGGGGATGCTGAATCCATTTCTGACATTTTCAAAATACAAAATGGCCATTTCAACCAGAGTGGACATATTTCAACTCCCAGTGGGCCTATTTTGATAAAAATTTGGGTACCTAGCACATAGTATGTAGTTGACTGAGGCTTGCTAAACCTGTTGGAGCACAGAGCTAAAAAGGGCACTGCGTTTCAATTGTTGTAGCCTTTCCTATTTCGGTCTCTTATGAATACAACGGAAACATGCTATCCAAATTTTGCGAGATAATAGGGTCCTAGGGTAACTTATTACGCGTTGGTTAATTGTTTAATGGAGCTTTCAGATTTTTACATACTTCATTAGTGTGTATTTCAGACTTAAACATCTAAACATTGTGCATAAAAGCCCAAGTGGAGCAAAATAAGACCACTTGTAAACATTAGCTGAATCAGTAATTAATATCATATGGAAGCCCATTTCCGCCAATGTGACGGGGAAAAAAAGGATTCTGTAATTCATTATAATTTACCTTTTACTTTCACAAAATATTGTCTTAGTATCTCAAAATGAGAATCTCAATATTTAGATTTTTTCATTATTTTGAGATCTCATCTCATCTTCATTCACTTACCGGGATCGGGTCGCGGGGATAGCAAGTCTAGCAGAGGACCTCAAACTTCCTTATTTTGAGATTCTAAGTCAAAACATTGATAAAGTTTCAAATTATTTTGAAATGCTAAAGAAAAAGCTTCATTATGACTCACAGAATCTTTTTTTTTTTCTTTTCTCGTCACATTGGCGGAAATGGGCTTCCATAGTGTCAAGATAAAGTGCATTGATTTCTAGGTGAATCTTGGCTTTGGTTGAAGGAAGGCTCTGCCTTCTTGTTGTCTGGCACTTCAGGGCCTGTTGGTCCACAATCATTTAGAGACAGAAACAGAATTATAGCTGCGTAGCAGTCAGTCGGGGGCCAGGCATTTTGAGGAATGACATGGAACCAAATTTATTATTAAAAGTTGTGTCTGTCAGCAGTGTCTGTTATTATTTTATCTTGATTTACTGTGATAAACTGAAGTTTAAAGATGCTCTATTTCCACTGACTGCAATAATCTACATTTAAAATAGTGTCAAAAATTCAGCTTTTGAGATTCTAAAATTTACCACACTATATTTAAATATGTTAGTACTTAATATTTAGAAAAACTAAGTGAGAGCATCTGAACATTTCTGTTTTAGCACATATGACTGATATGAATTATCAAAAATGTAAACTTTAGATGGTTGCTTTAGCGCCACCGTTGGATGAATAGCCCAGTTGAGAAAACTTGGCATAAGACTGAACCTATGTGCAAAATTGTGTTTATTTTCATGCATGGAAAGGCGGATTTCCTCATTGGAAGAAGAAGAGCAGAGCTGCCCGGCCCCTAATAATAAACTGTCCTCATGTGTGAGCTGTAAATCAGCCATAATTGCCTCTTTTACACAAATATCATGTGAAATAATTAAAGTCACTACTCTGTGTCTTTGTTCACTCAGCGTCCTGTCAGTCGAGCAGCAGGGCACAGCTGAGCCCGCTCATTTGTTGGTCGCTTTTTCGAGCTTGCCTCTGATCTGTCCTTGGTCCTCGCTCGTGTCTGACCAGAAGTCTGGGTTGTCTTGGTACCATTTTACTAAAAGACACAAAACACAGGAATTAATTGCACACATTATACAGAGGGAACCATCTCTTCATCTGCTTCCATCTATATTTAGACAGTTTGAGCTAAAATGTACTCCTTTTGTGGATCAGGGCTTTAATGTACTGACCCTGTCTCCTCGCTATAGATATTTTTTTCAATCTAGAGGCCTGTGGTGTGTGTGTGTGTGTGTGTGTGTTACTGTACCAGTCTGTCGAATGCCTTCAGCCCAGGACACCTGAGCTCTCCAGCCCAGCTGCTGCAGCTTCTCACAGCTGATGGGGTAGCGCAGGTCGACACGTGGCCTACAGAGCAGAGGTCAGTGGTTTTGAGATTTCAGATGTGTCTCATGTTGTTATGGACATCAGCTCACGGTCCTGACAGCTTCATGAAACAAATGTATGACTTTTCCAATTGGCCTAGGTAGGGACTTGTGGAGATAATTATATTGTTATATACTATATTAACAGTTACTCACCAAAATAAGACATTTTCACATTTTTATAATTGGATCTTGGGTCGACTCGTGCTGGGAGGTTGCCTCGGTATACAACAGCTAGTACCTCTGCATATACTGTATTAAGCTTCTAAAGCTCTTCAGGTTTTCATATGATGAAAACCCGCAACTTTTAGGCCACGAGAGCGCAGAACTTTTCCCATATTGAGTGCACAGCAAATTTTGTTCAATTCCTACCAAAATATTGATTTGAAGCCTAAATATAGCTACATTAAGACACATTAACACACTGTAGAGTGACTTTGTAACCACTCTTTATGGTTGTAATACTTGATTTCTGCACTGGTGACTCACCTGTCGGGCACAAACTCGAGCCAATCATTCACCTCAGAGTCTGGCACATTCTTGACCTAAAAAAAAACACAGATTAATACATCTTTACAATCACTGTATCTGACACTTGTAACGTATTTGTACATGTACCGCTATACGTTTGAATTAGGAGAACGGTTCCTGAACCCACCATCTTGACAAGTTCCCTGGCCAGTTGCATGATGGGAATCTCGCAGCCTGTTCCAATATTGTAGATTTCTCCCACAGTCCCTTTCTCTAGAACCAGCAGAAAGGCGCTGACAGCGTCATCGACAAACAGGAAATGGCGGGATTTAGGGAGGGTTCCCTGGATGGTGCTGTGGCAGAGAGGAGAAACAGAAACCCAGGTTAGAATGTAGCTTCACTCTGCTTTTCTCTTAATGTATTAAATCAAACAAATACTACTGTTGTTATTACATATTTGTATATTTTTATATATACAAGATTTTTTTTCAGGGTCACTGCATAATTAAAAGTAATTGCACCAGAGTTTGCTAACAGCTAATCTGCATCTGTTGTCGCTTCATTTCTTAACTCATTTATTCACGCATTTATCTAGTTATAAAAGTATGAACAGATAAATAAATGTGTGAATACATTGATAAGTAAATAAATTAATGTCTCATTTAATTTGTGATTGATTTATGGTGACAATTTAGCATTTACTTATATAATTATGTATACATTTGTTTCATTTTTACTTATATATCAAATATTGTATTTAGCAATTAAAGTCATCATCATTACTGCAATTCATTAATTTATTGAGTGTGCCTGAAAGCAATGCTATTATTCCCAATACTTTTATTCTTCCGTGTCCGGTTTTTCGGGTCCGAGACTATCGCTCGCCACAGTGTTGTGGTCCGCACACATACACACAAAAAAAAGGAGGGGTAATGCAAAAACGTGCCGGCTCGACGCGGGACAATGTAGTGGCTATGAGCTTTTCGTAAAGCAGGTCTTCGCCAAAAAGCCGGTTTGTGCCGATAAAGTCGCCACAAAATCAACAAGGCGCGTACGAAAAGAATGAAATGGGTTGTGTATTGGAAGAAATGCTCCAGCAGCTTAGAAAGTGTGGTTCCGAGCAATCAATCCACCCTCAGAGTTGTAGAGAGAAGACACAAACATTTGTCAAACCAAACTAGAACTTTGGTAACCTGCTCGTCTCAAAGGCCACAAATGTCAGCTGCCCCTAAGCAGACACAGGCCGAGTCCAGGCAGCCACTCAAAATTTCTTCAGGAATTTTCTAGTTTAAGCTTTTATTATATAATTACATATTTATTCATTTATATAAGCATTTAAATATATCATTATTTATGCATTTATATATTTAATTTCAGCCCTAAAAACCCTCCATAGATACAACCAGTAAAACCTTGTACTTATTCTAAAGTTCAAACAAACCTACCATTTCTTGTTCATTTGCAAGAGGGTGAGAAACCTTGGAATGACCTGAAAGATCAAGAAGATGGTTGCTGCTTTTAAAAGTCAATATCTTCGTCACTGTAAGATGTGTTGAGTTTAAACGTGAAAAGTGAAAGATCGTTCTTGTTTATCTGGAGCATTTAGAACAGAACAAAACCAGGTAAGGACACTTTTTGTACAACCGTAAAATGTGTCAAAAAAATTAAAAGCTTGAACAGATATCTTGTTATTATTCTATTGTGTTATAATTATACAAATGGAGCAATGATTAAAGTCAAGTGTTGTCAGTGAGGTGCGGTACCTTCTCAGTGTACTGCCTGGGCCCGTAGATGTTGTTGCTCCTGGTGATGATGATGGGAAACTGGTAGGAGAAAAACACTGCACTGTTTAAACATACAGATAGCCAGAAGGAAATTAAGAATTCACTGTCACATAAGACTGAGAAAAGAGGCAAATTCTTACAACTTAGAAGCTGAAACTAGGGAATGTTGGGCAGTTATCGTTAAAAAAACATTCTTTAACACAGTAAAAAGCCAAGAACTAAATAAAAACCTGTTCATTTGTGTCATTTAGAAGCTACCTCCCTGCCTGTGTGGTGTGTGTACCTTATATTCATCCCAGTAGGACCTGACCAGGAACTCCGCTGCTGCTTTAGTGGCAGAATATGGGTTGGAGGGCCTCACTGGACTGCTCTCATCAAACACCTGCAGAGAACCAACACCCAAAACCCGTCAGTAAATGACTCAAAAAGCCAACCCCCCCCCCCGTCAACAGATTCGCCGTTCACTGACCTCGTCCAGACTGGCTCCGTACACTTCATCGGTGCTGACGTAGATGAAGCACTGCGGCTGGTGTCGGGCCTGATGGGCGGCTCCCAATAACACTCTGGTTCCATCGATGTTGACACGCTGGAAACTAGCCGGACTTTCAAATGACGTCTCTGAGCGAGGGAAGAGAAAAAGACCATAAAATCATAACACTGTTTCTTAAGGTGAGACACTACAGGTGAATGGGGTAAAGATTTTAACGAACAGACTTGAACAACCGCTGCTCACCGACGTGTGTTCTGGCTGCCAGGTGGAAGATTACATCAATGCTTTCTGAGTTGAAAATGTGATTTACCAGCCGCGAGTTACACACATCTCCCTGTTGAAGAAGTAGATTTAAATAGTCAGATTGCTAGATCGTAGATTTTTCATATTTAAGATAAAGGACCAAATCTTTCTAGTTTAACAACACTGATGTCAGCAGCTCTCACTCTGATAAAGGTGTAGTTCGCTCTGTCTTCGACACTCTCCAGACTCTTGGGGCTGCAGCAGTAATCCAACTGGAGGAGATCAGTGAGAAATACTGTAAAACTTCCAATAAAAGCAGGGTCCCTAATAGACGCAGGTTTCTTTTAAAAGCCTGGCGTGGCTACACGTTTTGACAAATAAACGCAGGTCTCGAATAGAGGCCTGGTCTGGATTTTATAGAAATTATCTCGATGTATAAATCCTCTTAAAACCCACCAGGTCGCCTGATGGTACATACAACACACTTAGGATGTCAACATGAGGTCAACTCACTCAGAGATAAGCTTGCCCAGAATTTTTATATTTGCAAGGAACTGGAGTGAGGAAAAAAACGAGAGTGGAGACTTACATTATCCAGGTTAATAATTCTCCAGTCTGGGTGTCTGTGGACCAGGGAACACACAAGATGGGAGCCACTGGAGAGAGAGATGAGGAGGGGGAGAAACACATAAGACTCCCACATTGCTCTGATGTTTGTGCCAAAACAGATTAAAAAAAATCAGCCAACTAAGTATCACTATTTCACTAACTAATGTGATGTGCACACTGGATACAGAATCATTTTTAAAAAAGCCTTTAAATCCAAGAACTAATATCCATGGCCCCTGCTAATCACTATAATTATTACTATTTATTACTATAATATTATCACCTGTAATGTCGCTGTAGAGTTTCGATAAAACAAATGATAGTTATCCAGTGAGCTAGGTTTTACATGTTTATATTTCAGTATGAACTGTATTCGTTGGTTTTAGGTGTCTGAGTGTAACGTTAGTGTAACGTTAGTGACTGAAGAGTGAGGGAGGTCACAGTTCGTTGCCTTGAGAAACTAAACGATGAGCCGAAAATGGATAACTTTCAGTCCTATCCTTCTTCTAAATATGAACTCACTACTTGAACTCACATGAATCCAGAGCCTCCAGTCACCAGAACAGTCCTGCTGCAGTCCATCCTCTGCTCACCGTCAGCTGTCAGTTCCCATTAAACTCTCCTACAGACATAATAACAGCATCGTTATCGTTTGTATTTCCCGTTATTCAGCCTGCTAGCTAACTGGGAGCACAGGTACAGAAGTTCTCTATTTCCTGTAGTACAGTAGGTGCATTGTGTAATGTGCGACAGTCTCCGGTCGGTTTACGGCAGTGTTGACACGTTGAAAATGGGTGGGACGTTTATGGCATGTAGCCTGGTTTCTGCTCTCTGATTGGTTATTTTACCTGGCGGCGCGAATATGCGCTGTTTGATTGCGTGAATCCCAAATCAATCAAACTGTCAGCCCTGCCCACAAGGCTGGACAACAGTGTCAAGTGAGCTACAAGAAATATGTAACGTCCGGAACTGATTTTCAAAATAAGAGTGATTACATTAAAATATATTTACTATCTTTATACTTGCTTTTCGAATGTTTACATAGTTTTTGTTTAGTCAAGTCACATTACTGTTTAAAACCTTACATATACTAAACAACTAAACCGTACTCTCAGGAAATAAACTACTGTTACACAATTCAGTGTTATGGATTTTACAATGCATTACAGCTTTAGTTTAATCCATAATTTAATATAAAATCCCAATGAGTGAGTCTTGATGTTTTTGCGTCACTGGTCTGTATACCATAAATCTGTTTAGCTCTACTTTGTGTGAGAAAATTAGATGCGAGCTTTTACTTGAGGACAGAAACACCCAACTTCCGGTCTCATCCAGGGTGACTGTGGATGACTTGACGCAGCTGGTTTACTTCTGGCTTCGTGGCTCATTGAATTGCTCAGCTAACGTTTATTTGTCGATAACGTTAAAAAAGCGTAAGGAGAAAATGTCGTATCTATTAGCCGCGTTTGTAGCTGTGGTTCTTCTCAGTTCGGAGGCTTTTGGGAAAACCGTGACGGGACTTTTTAAGAGCGAAGTAGCGAGACAGCAGAATGGCCAGTTCATCACTAAATTCATGTACCAAGGTAACGTTAACGATGCTGATGTTGCTAACGTGTCATTTCAGCAGTGACAGGGTTAGCTTCAATTCAGCATTAATACTAACGTGGCATGATGGCGTGTTGATTCAGTTCACTGTTTTTCTTCTTCTTGCTTTTTTTAATTTGCTATTGGCTAACAGATTGGTGTAACTAGTATGTCACCACTTTATTTGATATTGAGCTAGATATTCCAGCATCATCAGAGTATGTCTTATTATTAAGCATTATCACATTTAGGGTGACTTTCTGTGAGTGCTTCAGTAGCAATGCTCCAGAACACTTAAAGTCCCCCTCCAGTCAAAAAAAAAAAAAAGTTTCTTCTTTTTCCTACAGTGTGATGTTTGATCTTCACTGTGTAGAATGATGTATGNNACTAGAAGGATGTTTTCACATTTAATCTGCTGAGAGCGGAAAGTTTCTCTGTGCTCAATGAAAATCTGATTTAAGAGGCGGGGCCTACGAGCATACTTTGTGACATCACAAATAGTTTTTTAGTCAAACCTGGTCTTCTAATGTAAAACAAATATGAATTTTACGATGATACATAAGAGAGAAACACAGCAAGTCATCACATTTAAGGAACCTGGAACCAGACATAGTTAAAAATAATTTAAACAATTAATGAATGTAGTTTATTTAACTTTATTTGTGTAACTTGCATCACTTTGTTGACTCACTCTGGTCCACCATAGATGTTCTGCTAGTTGTTCCCTGCACTTATCTTAATAAAAAATAAATAAATTACCCTAGATGTTTGGCCACAATTGGTTTTCATTATTATTTCAGTAATTCACTCACTGACTTATTGATCTAAATAATCACACAACAGGAACATTGTATATTTCATTAGTAGTAGCAGTAGAAAAGTTAAAAAAAATCAAAAAGAGAGGGAGAAGAACAAACAAACTTTAAATATTTACAAGCTCAAAGAAACTATTTGCATACAAGCCATAAGAACACTCTGATCCGGAGAGAAAGAGTGAGAGAGGTCAAACATGCCACCACATGCACTGACTGCCTGCATGGCCCAAGAGGAGAGGGAGAGACCCCGGCAGAAGAGCAATATAATATGTTTGAATATATTTCTCGCCATTTGAATAAGTTGCTAAATTTGTCACTAGTCACTTTTTAGAAATAACGTTGCCAAGAGGGTCTGAAAAGTTGGCTCTCTCTGTGATTGATTCTGTGTGTGTAGGTGTCTGTCGGACGTAGTGTAGAGCTCATACCGGTGCCACTTCATGTTTTTTGATAATTTCAGAGAGAGAGAGAGTCTTTCTTAAGTCGAATAAAACGTGTCACTTTCCCGATTGCTCATTCATCCTGTCTCTCTCTCGCCCGTAGGTGCTAATGGTCTGCTGGTGTGCAGGCTGGACAACTCCGCTCTGGCTACCGAGAAGGAGTCCAGATTGCTGCTTTATCAGGATATGGACTCAGACCTGGACAACCTCAGCTGCTCCGAAAGGCTCTCCAGAGCTCAGTTCACCAGTAAGGACCAGGGTTCACTTATACAGAGTGCTGAGCTCTGATATGGTGGATGTGTCGCAGCTGTATTGATTTATTCCTCTGCTCTCCTTCCTCCACACTGTCACCTCATCTCACCGCGTTCGTCCTCTTCCTCCCCCTGCTTTAGTTTCTCTCAGTCAAGAAGAACACAACCAGACGATCCCTCGTCAGTCCTCGCCCACAGCCTGGCAGGCCCTGTATGCTGACAGATACACGTGTCAGGTAACAGCAGTTGCTTTTAGTTTTTAGGTTAGTTTTGAGAGGTGAGTTTGCTCATATTTAGTGTTAGATTTTTTTATTGTAAATATTTTGTTTTGGATTGGTTTTATTCAGTTTAAGGGATTTATTAGAGATCTTTTTTTTAATAGCATGACCGGCCAAAACGCACACTCAAAGGCTTCAGAAGAACTATGATATCGTTTAGTTAGTGTTTGTTTTTTTCTCAAGCCCAGTTTTTACTTTTAATTTCAGTTACCTAAATAATAAACAGCCCGATGAAAAGAGCTGCGATGGTGAAGCATTAATGAAATGGGTGGGTAGCGTCACTGGTCCGACAATCACTTTTTACAGACCAAGCTAAAGAATGAAAGCTAACCTAACTGAATGAGGTTACGAGTAGCCAATGAGGAGCAGAGCATGGATGGGAAAAAAATAAGGCGTCCATCAGGGCCTTGGAAAACTGGTACTGAGACTGGTACTGGAAGTTCATCACACTAAGTTTCCCTCCTTGTTTCCCTCTCCTCTTTCTGTTTCCTGTCTGTCTCTCCAGGAAAGTGCGGTGATCCCTTCTCACGCTGATCTCAGTTTTACTGTCTTGCTGTTCAACGCCGACTCAGCTGGAAATCCTCTGGAGCACTATAGCGCGGAGGAGGCAGGTCAGACTTCCCGAATATTCCCAGGATTCACAGCAGCTGATTGGCTGGATATCAGGACATTAGCTTACTATACTTATACGAGCATCCTCCTGGGCATCACCCAAAAGTGACACACACTAGACTGAACGCTGGAAAACAACTTTAATTTCATAACAATCATTTTTAGAATAATGTTAATATATGCAATGTTCCTATATTTAATTCGGAACATTGTCCACACTAGTTTGCCGTTTACAAATCATCCCATCAGCCAACACCATGAAGCAACATGACACAGCCAGCCGGTAACCCCATCTTAGCTTAGTTAGCTAGTTGGATGCGCTTGCCTTCCATCGCTCTTGGCTAGTAGTCGTTGATTTTGTACCGTTACATCATTTATTGTTGGCCGAAATCAACACTGTTTGTCATAATACATAAGTTAGTATCATAGATCACGTTAGCTTGGAAGTCATTTGCGAGTCCATGTTAGCCAACTAAGATATCGACTCATATTTTGCCAGCAATAACATTAGCAAGCAACCAAGCCAGGTTAGCCAGCCAGCTCTAACCCAGCCACGCTGAATAACGTTATCCAGCACCGACAAATTAACCCGCAAACGGCAAGCCAACTCGATTTCACTATGTTAGCTAGCAGTTTGTCCGCGTTAGTATGCAAGCAAACATTAGCCGGCTAAAACCACAGTATCACAATATCTTTGGCGAGCTTTGCGGTTATGCTAGCTTTGACTTTGACTCTGTTGTTGTGGGTTTGTTGACATTAGCGGATAAACGCCAGAACCTTTACATAGAAAACAGTCCACAGGCTGTTCTAAACAAGATCTCATTTTTAATGTTACGTTACAGCCTGTTCACACATTAACATAAACATAAAATGCTTCAGAATCTTACATATGGCACCTTTTAAGAAATTGTACACAACATCTAAGTATGATCTCTGACTTTAACGTCTGTTGTATTCAATTATTAACTTTCTCTCTCACAAATCTCTGCTTGAAGTCACTTCTATCAACCTAAATAGAATGATCCACTTCGACTGCTTGATGCTTGTGTGGAGTTATTACAAAAGAAGTTTGTGTTAACTATTTAAATGATAGAAAGCCCATAATGGTTTACCAGATGTTATGTTGATACTTTCCCTGCACAGATGTATCACTATAATTTTATTATAACTTGAGTTTATATTTTGATTTGTAAAGAGATGACTGCATCCTTCATGTGGGAACAAAATGTTTCCTTCCTTTATTCTCTCTCCCAGGTCTCCAGAGTTTTTACTTCCTCCTGCTGCTGGCCTACTTTATAGCCTGCTGCATCTACATCCAGCCTCTGTACCAGGCTCTGAGGAAAGGAGGGCCCATGCACACCGTCCTCAAAGTGCTGACCACAGCGCTGGCGTTACAGGGCTGCTCCGCTCTCTGCAACTACATCCACTTAGCCAGGTAGAGGGTCTTGGAAAATCTTTGACTTCAGTTTCCTCAAAAAAATTCTACTTATTTAATAAAGCAACATTACGTAAGATTTGCTTGTGTCAGAGTACAATACCAGTGTGGTAAATATGGACAGCTGTACATTACTTATGATTACTTTACTTACTTACTTGACAACTTGACAACACCAATCAAGTGCAACAACACAAGACATTGCAAGCCAGCTAACATTACT